TATATACATACATATATACGTATATACATACATAAAATTCTGAATACATTTTAATCCATTTCAACCAATTCTCGTTTGCTGCTTTGACATATCAAAAATAAAAAGAATCTTACCCAGCTTACATCTAAATAGCGTAGTGTAGATTCGGGAAGTTTGTATTTTATTCTGAATCGAGCATTTCGAGAAAAGATGCCGGATCTTGGTGTCCTCAGCAATATAATATTAGAAATGATGTAGACTTCATTTACCAAAAATATTATAAAAATTCCAAATAATTTTAAATGTTCAAATATTCTCTAAATTTATTTAAATATTTTAAATATTTTCTATCTTAAGAAAATTAAATTAAATTTTCTTTATATGTTTACACAAATTACATATTTACCAATTTTGTCGACTTCATCTATCTAAAATCAATGGATTCTCAATTTTGGTCTTCTTCAAGCATTAAATGAAAACTTTGTCTGGCATGGCTCCGATATTAATATAGGTTGACTACTAGACTAAGGAATTGATGAAATTAATGATTTTTCCGTACTCTTCTCAGACGCATGTCAGACACTTGTGGTTTTTTTTTAGTTTTTTTTCAAAGCTTGTTTCATTGACCTTTTCTGTTCTCTCGGTTCTATAATTCTATATGAATAAATGACATATTATAACTGAAATGATTTACACTACATATACTATTCACATAATTATTAATATTGACATTACTTATGTCAATATAAATTAATGCTAAAAAATGATTTGAAAGAACTTACTCTTCGGATTTCTTCAAGAAAAGGCTCCCACGTAAGGCTGATTTAGCTTTATCTTTTTACGTATTAAATCGATCAGAAACTGAATTACTAATCTCAATTTAATAAATCTGAGAAATACTAGATTTTTAATACGAGAGCAAGTCAATAAGTTTTTAGAAAAACATAATAAAACACATTTTTTTTATCGATTCATTTTTATTTCAACATAGTCTCATTTCAGCTCGATACACTTGATACACTCCAACGATTCTCCAACTTTTCAAGCCGTCCGAATAATATGATTTGTCCAACTCTTCGAAATAAGCCTCTGTTTCGGCGATGAGCTGCTCTCTAGTGGTGAATCTCTTTCCTTCGAACCATTTCTTCAGGTTTGGAAACAGGAAATAATCACAAAGAGCTAAATCTGGCGAATATGTTGGGGAAGCAAATTTCGTAGCGAAATTCGTTGAATTGGCCATCGGTGCCGGGTACGTGTGCATTGTCTTGATGGAAGAGCACTTTCTTCTTCGTCAAATGGGGACGTTTTTTCTTTAAAATGTTGTTGAAATAGTCCAATAAGATTGCGTAGTAATCGCCATTGATCATTTGTTTCGACGAAAGATAATCGATATGAATTATATCGTATGCATCCCAAAAAACTGTGGCCACCTTTCCGGACGATTTTACGGTCTTCGGAGCTGGTTCACCTGATGAAGTCCGTTTTGACTGTTCCTTCATTTCGGATGTGAAATGGATCCATGTTTCGTCCACAGTAATGAATCGATGCAGAAATTCATATGGATAACGTTGAAACATCTCCAAACATTATTTTGAAATCATCACACATCGCGCTTATGGTCCACAGTGAGCACACGCGGCACCCATCTTGCCGATAGCTTCGGCTTTGATTTCTTTCGGTGTTAAATCTTTCATATGTAGATGTTTGATCACTGCACAAAACTCGTTTTTTTCCATTTTGTAAAAAATACAAAGGTTGTTCGCTTTAATCGTCTACAGAAATGAAACCACCCAATGAATTCCGCTCAAAATTTGACTGTCAGTTGAGAGATCAGTTGAGACATATTGAGAATCAGTAGAGATGCCACTTATCAAAATGTGACATGATACTGACAAAATTATTCAATCACATTTTACCTGCGTCTTTTTAATTTAAAGATTATGCATTTCGCGGGTTTCTTCCGAGTCCAGATCCATTCTTGGAATGCGTTTCATGAACCTTGCAGTTCACTTCGTCAGGAAGACAAGGAGTAGCCTAATATTGAGCTGTTTCTTCGCCTTTTATATATTACGCTTGTGGAGTGGTGGAGGGAAAGAAGAGAATTGTGGGTGAGGTGGGGAGAAGGGTGGAGGAAATAAGTCAATCTTCATTAACCGCAGAATAGTTTTCCATATTTTATTTATGTTATAACCATTATCTCTATTTAGATTATTAGGGTGTTTTTGTATCTTTATGGCTTCTCTATACTTTCTTGGAAAATATGATGTAATGTTGGCTATTGTAGTTGTTTTGTCAAACAGTATTTGTCCAGCTTCGATGTTGTTTCTGATAGTGCTGATTGCGTGACATTTTTAAATTGACGTTGGTGTTCTTTATCCAGTTGATTTTATAGGTTGACCATTCTCCCAGTTTCTCTAATGTATGTTTTTGCTCGCAAGGTATTTTGTATATTCCTGCGGAACTGAGTGGAGGTCTTTGATCTTCAGGATTTCTTAAGATTTGTCTTATCTTTTTGAATGATTTAAAGATTTCGGATTGTGTTTGTTTAATATCCTGCCAATCCGATCTGTTGTTCCTTTGACATTCCTTTGACAATTTTTTATTTTTTTATTCATATGTGATATAACACATAACGATATAACGATATATAACTTTAAAGAAATAGCCAGCACATAGAGAAGATATAAGATCAATGATTATTTTTTAATAAGTTTTAAGAAATTGATCAATTATAATTAAATGCGAGAAGAATATTTGACTGTAATTGGTCCATTTCTTATGACTTAAGACATAAAACATTTATTGTAGATCCGAACTAAGGCGTATGGCACAAGGCATAACTGCATAAACCAATCAGAGGACTATATTAGCACTTAAGAAATTACTATATTAGCACTTAAGAAATTACTTAAAATATGAACAGATTATGAATATACGCCCTTAGTCTTATTATATCTTATTATTTTTTAAAGATATTTAAAAGAAATAAAAAAATTGTTTAATTTAAAAAAAAGTTAAAAAGTTAATGTATTTTATAAGTTACTTTATAAATAACTTAAGTTAAGTTAAAATTTAATACATTTAAAATTAACTGAATTAAGTTAAAAATTATTAACTTTTTAACTTTTTTTTTAACTTATATAACGTTTTAACTATCTAATTATTATCTAATCCTGCGTATGCATAAAGAAAATTATGCATGTATGAATACCAGCCTTAGACGCAAGCCGATCGCAAGCATGTTGCAACAGCCAAGCTGAAGCTTGCATTTTGATATCAATGCTTCAGATTGGCTATCGTAACATTCTTGCAATATCATTGAAAAATGGACGATGTATCTTAAGGCCGGATTCACACCGCGATGGAAAAGCGGAAAGCGGAAGCCAATTGGAACTACTCGTAGTAGTAGTAGGCGATACATTTCGCTACATTTGCCTGCTTTTGCTTCCGCGAGTTCTGATTGGCTTCCGCTTTTCCGTTTTCCATTTTTCCGTCAAGGAACCCGGCCTAAAAGTAAACGTTGCTATATAATTTACATCCACTTTATTAGAGGGCAGTAGTGCGCGGCAGCATTTTGCGGTTACAGATTTTGGGCCGTCATGTCCTCTCTCAAGTTTCTCTCTGCTTATACTATACCTGCAGCCGCATCTAGTGACTTTCTCCCTCGTCCTCGTTACCAACGTGATTGGCGGCACTGGACGCCAATTCTCGATTCTCAATAGTCGGCATATATCTTCGTGACGCACGTCGACGATCCGTCGTCTTCGCGATCCCAACCGGACGATCTACGTGTCGTTGATCCGTTTGCGTTACGGCCGACGGCAGGGTGGTGGATCTCGCGAAAGGTACGTTCAAAGTACAACTCGCATCGCGCGTGTGGCCGTGTCATTCTTTGCTCTGAGCGGAAATTTGCTAGTTTTTTGTCGTCTGTCTTTCGTCACCGTCATCGCTTTCCCGTCCGGGACACTTCCATATCCGGAATTCCGGCGAGAGTTTCCTCGCCGCGCACGTCAAGTGCGATTACTCGCATTCGCGCGCGCGCGCTCCATGGCTGCTTACACGTGTATGTGTGTATATGGAGAATGTGCGCGCGCGCGCGCGCATACATATACATAAACGCCAGAAATAATTCCTCCGTTTCTGATGTACTAATAGATTCGTTTGTCTACTTGCACCATCTGTTTATCTGCCTCTCCCACTGAGATGGGAATAATAATAATAATAATAATTGCTTTTCATTTACACACCAAACTCTAATGATTCTTATTATAAAGTCATAATTCTGTTGAATGCACGTTTCTTGCCATTTTGACAAGTGAGATACAATCGAATTTTTACCTATAATTTGTACAAATTCGAGACCGCTGCTTTATCGAGCAAGGCTTAGTAATTTATATTAAAAGTAAAGTTATAAATTGTATTATACGATAACTTTGTCATCAAAGTCAGAAAGTAATGACTTCGTTATCTGGGTCTAAAGTACATAATTTTAAAATTATGTTCATTTCTAATTAATGTAGTTAATGTAGATTAAGTTTAATCTTTAATATATTCTTCATCCGTTTCATATCTTAAAATCAGAAAAGATAAAGTAAATTAAACCAAGTAAATATTATAAATTTATATTGGTAAAAGTGGGCATAATATAGATTAATTTTAATCTCAATTTAATTTGCTCTATCAATTGTAGGAGAATAAAAACTGTAGGGATTGTAACTAGAATAAGTTAAACTTGTATGTTGAAATAAATATTTAATACATCATTATAAGATGTAAAGTCCACAATTAAAAAACTAGAAAAATTGGAAACATTAATATAAAGATGAAAAATGGATGTTACAATTAATTTCTGGCTATCAGCGTATATTTCTAATAGTTACAGTAAATATATTTAAATTACATCAATAGTTCTAATTCTTAGAAGTAAGAAATAATAAAAAGTAAATTAAACCTTTCAAATTAATTTGCAGTGTCAGAAATGGCCATCATGTCATGTATGTGAAAACGAAAAACAATTATATATGTACGTAACAGGAAGTCCAGAAAACATCTTTTAGATGTCTTTCAAGATAGTTTTTTGCAAAAATATCTTTAGATTTCATAAGATGTCTCATCTCTGAATTTTTTATAAGTATATATGTGAATTTACTTCATCCCAGGTGCAGAAGGTGCGAGGAAAGTGCAGCCGGAATCGTCGGCTTCAATGTTATTGTCTGTATCTTCGTCCTCTTTTGTCTTCCCTCCTCCCACCCTGCGATGTCATCCCTTTCTCTCGCATTATTGTCGCTCGTCTTTTTCCTCTTCCTCTCCTCATGTTTCCTTTCATGGCATAACGTAAGGTTTGTTCGCGTCGCACGCTCCAACATGTTATAATAGCTCCTACCATAGCTCTTATTCATTCTAACACGCTTGATGGAGTGAATAGGAGCTGTGATAAGAGTATGTTGGAGCATGTTGGAGCTTGCGACGCAAACAAACCTGTAATGTGGCTAGTTGTTTCTCTCGCATGGGAAAATATTTATGGAGAATGCCCGTCCCCACAAATCAACCTGTTCATTTTTGCCATTGCATCGCCGGATTCTAATCTCTTTCTCCTTCCCTTCCTTCCTCTTCCCTTCGTCCCTTGTTCTAGGAATTACGAGGCACAAAAAACGTGTCTTGATATAATCCTTAAATATCGTATTACACGTACGATAAGAATTGAAATTGATATAACTAGAATCGTATTTGAGTTTGCATTTAAATGTTTAAATTTAACGTTTAACGAGAATAGAGACTTCAACAATTCGAAAATTTGTGTTAAATTTTATTCACGTATCTCAAATGAATATATATTAGAAAAAAATGCAAATATGTAAAGAAAGAACACAAAAAATTGTGTAATTCTGATGCAATTTGTCAGCAAACTGTGGAATCATATTTTTGCCAGTAAAATTATAATAATATTAATAATATGTAGATATAAATTAATAATATTTATAATGTGTTAAATTAACATACAAATATTTTTTTCATTTATCTCAGA